ATGTACATAGCATCTACCAAAGTAAAAATTCAATTGCATTCTCCTGAGAGGATTCCCTGATGCATAAGTCACCATGAGACTGAACCCAGGCCCAGGCACCTCAGTGTCAATAATCACACCCAGTAATATGCCACACTACCCACCACCCACTTTTTTTTCCCCCCTAATTTACAGTCACAGAGCAACCTTCTTAACATAATTTGTTTTTCCACAGAGAAAGTGTTCCTTTAGAGGGAACTAGGAGCCACAAGGGCTTTGAGCAAAATAACCCATACCTCACTGGATTTTTGCCCTAGAAGGAAAGCTCTTTTATACCCACATGTATTTCTAAAAAGCCCCCGGCAGAGGGTGGGTATTAGTGCCACTGCTGTAGTATTCGATCCACTTTACTGGCTGTTATTTTAGCAGAAAATCAATAAATGTATGCTCTTATTTGCAAACTTTCAAGTGTAAGGATCAAGAATTATAAGTTGGTAAAATCAGCTAATAAGACTAGAAGTTGTTTTAAAAATAAAAAGACTAGAAGTTGTACTGACAAGACCAAGGCCCCACTCCTGTGAAGCCCTGCTTGGTCTGCCAAAAGACCTTTTCCAAACACGGGCTTTGGGGCTGACTATGCAGATTTGCAAGCTCCAGAGTGATCTCCCAGTTTTCAAGAAGATTAATAAAGGCATTCCTCTGCTACAGCTATTTTCAAAGGATGGTTGGATTTTTCTACACCATATCTTACCTCATAGCATTCACAGTAGTTTTTAAGACATCCTGATCGTTTGCAGTTACATCCTTTGCTGTGACGTCGGTCTGATTCCCCTTCCTTTCCTTTTCCTATTTTAGGTTTAAAGGCTTCTGGATTTCTGTCAAGGCATGCCTATCAAAACAGACCAAATATCAATGGAAGTCTTATCAGTCAATTAAATTCAAGCATTGCAAAGGGACCTTTTATCCTTACTAAAACAATTGAGTACTTCAATAGTTAGAATTATAAAAATTATAGCTGAAATCAAGTCAAATAAGCGTTGCTTAAATTGAACCACATAAAAAGTAATCACCTTTATTGCTTTTTGCCTTTCATTTTCGTGTTCCAAATTGTTATAACAGTTAGTACAATTGCAGTTGTTACAAAATTCACCATTTGCAAAGCAATCACAATATCTGGAATACAAAATGGTATAAGGTAAAAAGTTATTGTTAGCATCATCGACGCTAGAAATGCATTTAATAGCACTGTGTATGTATTCAAAGTTAGACATGTTGTCAGCTGTTTGCATACAAAGGCTCAGAATTTCAGTCATTAGCCTCTAGCATTTTGGCCTATAAACTAGCTAACAGCTGTCAACACAAGAGATTATGTGATCTTATGTGTCCATAAATTAAATTATTTCAAA